ATTCAAGATTTGATTGACTCAGTGATGAAACCGTCTATTGTTTTAATAATATAATAATTTATATGCAAGATAAATTTGATAAGCACAAAAACAAATTTACTCCTAAAACGATATTTTTATATTATGTGTTTCAGTATTATATAAATAAACAATCTCATTTCTAATTATTCCACATCACTGAACACAATTGAGTAATCAAAAAATATTTCCTTAGGATGAAATCAAACAGGATGTTTTGGGACAGACAGACTAATTTAGGAAAATTACTTACAAAAATAACTTACACACACTGTACGGAATGCGTAGTGGTTTAATCGGTCACCGCACCTTCCTACGACGCTGAGTGTTGTGGGTTCGATCCCCACATGGAACAACACTTTGTGTGAGCCCAAACCTTCCCTCTCCCTACTTCTCGCTCACAAGGCGCCAACGCCAATGTCACTTTTATGACCCGACCGTTCGCTTACCTTCTATAGCATAAAAAATACACCTTTACACTATTACACTACAAGGTAGAAACAAAACAACACGATACTGTACTGATATACATCTTTAAGTTAATTCACATTCATGGGTTTTAGTTAGAAAACATGTCATTTATTATTGCTTAGTTACTCTGCAGACGGCAAGAAGGCGTCTAATCCTTATTTTTTTTCAAATGAACATAATATAACAATGTGTTAACGCTTACTCTACATGTGGTTTTTTCTTGTTTGCCGAACCTATTTGCTTACAATAACTTCTATTAATCTGAAACTAAAAGTGAAAACTGTTTCGTTTTACCACGGTACAATTATAATACAGTATTGTAACTCGGCCGCATGATAGAAATAAATGCCTACAGCCGCGCGGTACGTAAACATGCGTTAGGGCTGCCCGTCTCCAGCATTTTAATTATATTTGCCTACTTTCTGTTTCTATTTAGATTTGTGATTGTAAATATCCTTTTTATATGAATAAATGAAATACTTTGTATATTGAATAGGAATTGTTCAATAAAAATGCGTGTTGTTTTTTGATTGGTAGATTTAATTAAAAAACATTTTTTTGTTTGAAAAACCAATCGGGCTTACAAATTAGCGACCGAAAAAAATCCTTCTATAAAATAAAATAAATGTGCTTTCTCCATACGCGTTACAAAACTCCAATCCTTAGAAACTCCAACACCTACCACCTACTCAACTAGAATGCAAGAAACAGCTGACGAGTAAGTAACTTTTTATCTCAGCTAATTAACGTCTCTATAAATTACCTAACCTATAACCTACAACTCGCAACAACTCAAAACAAAAATTCTTTGGTCACCAATTAATTAATTATTAAAAAGCTGAACAGCTGACTACGAATGTTTTAAAATCACAACCCTCAAACATCTAAATATTATATATGAGTCTAGCTGTTGTTGTTAATACCGAGAAAATAAAACCAGTTTTTAGTGGTATATGTTGTTATAGTAGCAGCAGAAACACTTTGTGAAAATTTCGAAAACTGTCTAATGACACACAGACGGTAACAAATTTTTTTTAGTATTATTCATACACACAGATAATAAAGATATATTATTAATAATAAAATACCACGTCTTTAAGTAGAATTTTCTTTTTTTTGAATTATGCAAAGTAACAAAACAAACATGCACCGAAGTTTTAACACAAGCGTAAGTAGGTAGGTACCTACCGTATCATGATTCATTCAGAACCGCATGTAACTCCCTATTTCACTCGTCTCAATAACTTTCCGTTACTCTATTTGCTTTATTTATTCATCCAAACACCTTTTTTTTCGTGAGATAAAAGGAAATACTTATCCATTAAAAAGACACACATTATGTACCTACGTACTAGTAAGTAAAATTATTTTATAGTCTTACTTTTCAGAGTTTCCAGGTAATTTAAAAAAACTTATGTCTGGATGCGTTATTGACGAATTCATACAACCAAAAACAGCACAATATTTCCTACTCGTCATATTAACTGATTTTTAGAGAAAAAATCGCGCGGTTATTGTTAAAAAAACAACACGCAGTCCGTTCGACACTGCGGTACAGCCGTGACTGTCTGCGCCCCGAGCGCACCCCGAGATCGAGGCGCGTAGGTATAGCTCCCGTTTCGTCCGTTTGTATGAAGTTGCAGTACTGTATTATAATAGTACCGTGGTTTTACTAATGTTTCTAGCTGTGAGTTATCGATGCATAAAAAAAAAAATAAACTCACTAGTGGCCCTAGTTGTAATTCTAAAGTCCATTAGAAATCATTATTCAGTGAGATACTTGCTGTTCCATTTCGTGAAAAACAATTTCTATAAAACATAACAGATAACTTGATTAATGTCATTGACATCACCATAAGTAAGTTCGTTAAGAAAAGCTAATTTAATTACATTAATGTGATCCATTTCGATGAAATCACAAATGAATATTACGTTCTACTTAATAGCTTTATTAAACCAATCTTCAAATTGCAAGAGACAGACAGAAAGGTCAAAAACGAATCACTTAGTTAAAGGGCAATGGCAGATCTTCATAGATAATTTTATTTGAAGTGTAATGGTAACGTTTAAATATCAAAAATGCCTACAATACTTGAGAATTTTTTTTGACCATTCTTTTAACAAAATTACTAGCGAAAGAAGTCTAGGAAAAAAGTTATTGGATTTTGAATATTTCGAGGTTAGGTACTAACATATTGTCAATCTTCTTATCGTGTCGATGGCAACTTGGCACAACTTGGCACTTTATACGGTTTTGGCCCAGTGCTCGGCGACGCGGATTGTTGTTTTTCGTTGCAAAAAATCGTAATTTTATTCAATTTATTAAATTTAGCAAAAATTGTTTCTAAAGAATTAAAAATATGCGCAATTATTTCGAATTATGTTGATTTACTAACTCATAATCATAAAAGGTTAACCTTCGGTAGGTATGTCAGCGAAATCTATGAAAATCGATTATGGCTAAAACGTTTCATAATATAATGATGCCTACTACTTAAAGGGATACTAATAGGGAACAAGAGCCCCAATCTTACAATATAGCCAACGAGGGAGATGGATACTAGATGGTTCCCTCTATCTCTTTCTAGTCGAGCTCTGTGGTTGGCTTGGGAATATGAGGGGTTAATAAGTAGCCAATCACAGCTTAGCTAAACAGAGACAGAGGGAATTATCAGGCATCCACCTCTCTCGTTGCCTGTATCGCTTCCACTTACAGGCACCTGTATCCCGTGTTCCTTCTATGGTTATATGTATCTCTATGATTACATGTAATGGCGAATACGTGAGACATTACGTACTTGGGTCAAATAAGTTCTTCAAAAATATCCTATCTCTTATAAGACTTATGGTGGTAACTAACACATGGTGGTGTAATGATAAATCATAGAAAAAATATTAATTAAGTTTACTGCGACTAAATTTTTTAAACACTTAAGTTTTTGGTAAATATGTTTCGGCCCTTGTTCTTTAAAAGCACTTAAACTTAAATCACGATAAACTTAAGAAACGTAATAATGTTAAGAGGACACCTAAATAGGACGTCTGTCAGTTTTAACTATTTATAAAGGAGTGTTTCAAAAAGAAATTGAAGAATACAATTAATTTAATAATTTATTTTATAAGCACTATTTTATGTAATAAAGTTGATTAAGTAATTAAACTTAAATAAATTCACATAATCGATAAAACTCATATAACAGTAGATTAGAATGTAACACATGTTTTTACGCGCGACGTTGTCAGCACGACGACGTTGTCAAACAGTCCGTTTGTAGTTAAACCAAGGTGTTTGCATATAGTTCAAAATTTCGTAAATTCAGTTGTTGAATGGTAAAATCTTGAAATACTTACACCACTGGTTTCTATTTTTATCAGATAAAGGTACCTAAGTATTTAAATTTATAAAGTATTAGTATATATTACAAATATAAGGTATTAAATTGTGAACTAGCCCTTAGAACAGGCATTCCTATTCTTCTTTTTTTGTAACATCAATAACATCTGAATTCGAAGTGAGACGCTGTTAGTTTGTTTCAAGTTTTTTTTTTAAATTTAATTATAATAATAACTTTGTTGGGATAAAATACTTACACAAGAATATTTTGAAGTCTCTGTCATCTGAGCTGGGTATGAATCCTATGTTTCAACAGTCAGTGCTTTCTCAGAATTTATCTGAAGTAGATATTTTATGCTAGCGGTATGTTTTATTATGATTTTTTATTATGTATTTTACTGTTTAATACAATTCAAGCACTCATTACACACACACACACTTTTTATATTGTTGGTAAAATTTATACAAAATTAAAATATACATATAAATCTAGATACAGATTAAAGATTAATATTTTAACAGATGTTACTGGATAAGTCTGCAAATAACAATGCAAAGTAAAGGCACGCTAAAATCGATTTAAAATGTGTCTGTAGTCCTTATTTGGTGTTCCGTTTTACACTAAAACAACACCGTCGGTCGATATTTAATGGAAATGAAATTGACGACTACCGGTCGGCGAGTCGTTAACAAAACACGGAATAGAAAATTTGCGTTTATGCTAATCTGTCATCGATCATAATTTTGTTATAACTTTGTGCTAATATGGCTACCGGTTATTGTTTCCTGTTTCATACAATTTAATTATAAAGGAAGTGTAAATTTAGTCTATCACTATGACATTTAACACTATGAGGTAAACAAATTCGGTTGATTGCATTTAAGCTTGCTTTGTAAAATGCTTTGCCAAATAAATGTCTATCCTATTGTAATATTGATGGATGTAGAACCAATGTTGTTCAATTTCACTGGTGTAGGTATGAGTTTTAGGAAGAGACAGCAAATTAAAGAGAACGAATCAAAATGAAAGGAAATTTCAAACGATTACGAGGTTTGGTAACTTACAGTGATGAATGTCGGTCACATTTATAGACCGGATTTTTTGTCGAAAAAAATAAGGTAATTTTAAATAATAATATTATAAAATATTTATACTAAATGGACTAAGAATACATACCTGTTTACGAGCTACTCTATATTGTATATGTGTGGGAACAAGTTCATCTTGTATTTGTCGTTTGTCTTTGTTTGTAGCAGGCTCCGCTTCCTTTGTTGTCTCTTTCACATCTGCAGCGTAAGAGCAAAGCACGAAGGCTGTAACAAAAGAAAACTTACTTATTAAATTTGTTAAAAAAAAGACTTTTCTATTATTATCATAATGAATGACAAGATATGGTAATAATTAGTTAGTTTGAAGTACATAGACAATGTTGACGATCTCTGTACTCGTCGGCGGTATGACTGCAACGTCAATGGTCGTGGTCAACTCGGTGGAAATATGTATTGTATTTATACGCACGATTATGTCAAATTATATTAGACTAGGTATGTATATATACTATATGTGTACATTATGTTTTATTACATTTTTTACTAAACGCGCACAGGCAGGAATGTGAAATTTAAAATACCTTTAATTTATGTTTATGCATAAAAAGTGGAGAAAGAAAAAACTAAACAATATGTAAAGCTGCTATACGAAACGATAATTGTTAAATATACTTCGACCGGTCCAGGCCAAAAAAGTCTATAAAAAACAGTGCAAATTAAACCGACCCTTGACACAAGACATAGAAATTTGACCACTAGGCGATTCTTGTTCGTTTGCGTGATCCATTTATTTTAAACAAAGATCCGTAAGGAAGTAAATTTTAATTTAGAAATTTAATAAGAAATATATATTTCTTGTTACCCTTTTAATAGTAGAAGCTGATTTAGCCATTGCAGTAAACTTCATCTGGTACCTAGATGCGAAGTGTTTACGCTTGACATTAAATTTTATGCTGCTAGTGAGTGCTTGAGAGCGTTCAGTAATAAAATGAATTTAAAATTCTCATGTGCATTGCATGCATTCTCTTTAGTTCAATAAACATGATTACGCTGTATTTAATAAAATATTTTGCTTCTGTTGCAGTCACTGTCCTGTGACTATGGCTTAGCCGAAATATCACGTCAATATAAAACGTCAGCTAATTCAAAGGTATAACATACTTATTAAGCTATCTCAATCATTTATATCAATATATCATAGAACGCAAAAGTTTACAATTTAGTCTTGTTAATTTGAAATTTTCTTCCTTTTTTGAGGAAATTTGAACAGACAATGAAACTTTCATCGTGATTTGAAATTCACTTTTCAATATAAACCCACTGCAGGCTTAGAATTACCAAGCAGATAGTAACTACATATTGTTTTACCTCACTATAACAACTGTTTTAATAATGACGGTGACATCGTCCCGGCAATATTGTCGCGGCTACATAACAAAGACAGTTGCTTTATCTCTTGCTACAAAAACGCCAGGACAAAACGGTAACAAGAACGTGTAATACTTTTTGCTTTGTTTGCTAGTTGTAATCAACAAAAAAAATCTAGTCAGGCTTATAAAAAGCTTACATGCATTGAGCCTGTACTATTTCAGTTTCGCATATAAATCTTTTCAAATTCAATGTTTATAAAATGAGCCTTTGTAAATGGAAATGTATTCGTTTCTATTTTAATCTCTAACTATTAAAATATAACTGTCTGTTAGTTAATTGTTCGTGTGATGACGGATTAAGAATACGGAGTCTCACCACCCCTATTCACCCCGCGACTTAATTAATACATACAGAGATAGATATCCCTATTTAACCTTGCGACAATATTTGGATTGTTTAATAATTAAACCTTACTATTAGAGTGTGAGCAGTTCTCCGTTAAGTTTTACGCTGAAATGTTGTTTGATTTTTTAGCATTGTTAAAATTATAAACGGGCAAATATATATATTTTTAAAGCTTTTCAGAGAATTAATCTTGTAATAAGAAAACTTTATTAAAAATCAAAAATTTTACCTTTGAATGTTTACACTACTTTTAAATTAATTTCCTAGGACACAATAAAAACATTAAAAGAAAGAACTAGTTGATATAATAAACATAAATTTTGATGTAATAAAAATGCCTGGAAATTATTTATAGATCGCGATGAATATTTAATGAGCTAACTACTACAGTTAAAAGTCTGTACGTTCCACATATAAACGCGAAAGACCCGTGCTTTTCTATTATTATAAAATATTTTCTAAGAGGGATACCTTTTATACTCTTAGGGTTATAGACAACGATGAGTCGTGACGCGCACATGCACTGTATCAGATTCATTCGTGACTGAATTATTAGATAAATCGTATTTAACCTTTCGCGATTGGGAAGTATTTTATTGTGGTAACATATACAATACCTTTATATTTTAACAACGCTTTGATCATATTGCGCATGTCTTGGTCACAGGTGAAAGAAAAGAACTCGGGGACGTTCGTAGTACCTATTACAAATGATTCGCAATACTATAACCAAAGTAAAATATTTAAAACCCCGATTTAGACATATCTTATACTTTTAAATTGAGAGTGCGTGCGTAGTACGATCACTGTATTGTATTATTTATTTTATCATATTACAAATAAAGTATCAATCCAAGATTTCATTTCCAAATTATTTTACAAGACGATTCAATTTTAAATCCTAATAAATAATTACACTACCTATGTAATCTATCCACTTCTGAAACAAACTCAGCAGGAAAAGTTAATAAAATTATTTCTAATAAATATGCTATATGATTCTAGTATATAAATTTCTTCCTACCTGCAATAAAATTCGCAAATACCCCCGTGGCTTAACTAACCTAACCCTTGCAGTAATCCTATAACAAAATAATTATATTCTCCTACGCGAAACAATTAAAGTCTCGCATCGAATTAATCCGATCTGTAGCAGTAATAATTAGTTTGCAGAATTTCCAAGATTTATCCGGGCTTATTTGTAAACTGAGGTACTTTTGTACGGCGGTAATGTGATCAATTATAGAGTTGGACGTCTTTGGTTTGAGATTAAAATTTACATAAATTGATGATCCAATTTGTATTTTGATTTATTTAAAACATAATTGGTGATTGTTCTATTGTTAAAGTTGTGTTATTACAATATATACTATATAATACTAAATAAAAATGAAAAAAAAATGGGTAATTTTTAATAAACTTACAGATTAAATATGATGATTTCAAAAAAACTACCCCAAATAGTGTGCTAGTGGTTTTGGAGTACTTTTACAACAAGGTAGACGTATAAATTTTTCACGAAACTAATTACAGTAACACGTAACAAAAACTTTCAAGCAAGTAACAATGTAGTGATTTTTATAACCATGTTATTGTTGCTACAACACCAAACGCCTACTAAACGTGGTCAGTAGCTATAGAACTAAAAGTGTTAAACGTGCTACTAAAAGCAATCACAAAAATCTCAGGAAGTAGTGAAACCGTTTAAAAAATTATATCCTTTTTTTGCCTCCCGAAGATCTCCGTTGTAATTTTGTTAAGTAAATTTCACGTTACGTAACTCAACTGCAACAGACTTCTGCTGTATCTGTGGTTATCCTTTTTCAGGTGGAACTGTTTTAAGAGTTTTAAGAGAGATGGGGAAAAGTAAGGGTGAACAGGTTACGGACGGGCGCCAGGGAATACATCTGAAAAAACCTGGCAATCGTTCATTAAGCCTATATTGAATGCGATCCGGAGATTAAAGCTGGTGCTGGGTTGATAAAGTAAAGACTTAACATTTAAAAACGACGTCTTACTTTGAATTATTTCGTGCCTAAAAACACCAGACACTTAAATATCATATCCCTAATAGCGTATAGTAGAAATTAATATATCCGTGAGATAAGGAGACATCCACAATACGATAAGATATTTGTGGGAATAAAACGAAATTTACACATTAATTATAGCTGTGTTGAAATCTTAGACCGGAGATCCTTTCGTTAGGCCTTGAGTTCCTTCAAATCGTAACAAGGATAGTTTACTAGTTAGGCAATTTATTTAACAAGCATTCACACCTACTTCCTGTCTCTCTTTGCGTACCGATTTAAAGTTGTATAATTAATAGGTTATATTCTATTTGTAATTATCTGCTAGTAGAGTTATTTAGTGTACATGTTATTTGTAATCAGATTAAAGCAAATAATAATTAAGATAAAAAGTCAATTATAAAGTTCAATAAACTTTTTAGCATATCAAAAAACACGAGATAGGTATGTTGTTTGTGACTCATTAAGTTAAACTTGATTTATTACAGTACTTCCTTTTTCACTTTATCTTTACACCAGATACCAAACTATATATGATATAAAATGGCATTTAAATAATTGTTTTCATAATATTTTGAAATAAATATTGAAATAGTTGTCTGCATGATAAGAATAATTCAGAACTAAGTGATGGTCTTCACTTAGTTATGATTGCTACGAAATTTTACAGTGAGACAATGTTCACCGACCAGGACGTATATCTTATGTTTTCTTTTCTAAATGCTATAACATATTTATTTATTTATTTATACTGCCTGGAAATACATAGCATAAGACGGACTTAATGCCATAGCATTTTCTTCTAGTCAACCTTGGGGTGATGCAGAGATTTGTGTGTGGCAGGTATATAATGAGATAAATTATTGAAATTATAGTCGGTTGCAAGATGTTATACTACACAGATCACAAAGACAAAACATTAGATAAACACCCTGTATATCCATGTAAATTATAGCTACATTACCAAAATTTATAACTAAATATTATCGAAATAACAAATAATATTTTTGACTGAAACCCAGTCATGATTCTTCCTCATCAACTGAAGTACAGTTGAAGAGAAAGAGAAAATAATCATCTATCAATAATCATTTGGGTTAATCATCATGACGATTTACTTTGTATAAGGTTACTCATTATAATATGCATCATAATAATAATAAAAATGACACACAACGCCATCTAGTTTCAAACTAAGCAAAGCTTGTAATATCAAAGCTAGATTGACTGATAGAATACTTTTATACTTTTTTTGTAAACACATACATATGATACTTAGAAAACACCAAACTCCGAAACAAATATTTGCATTTCATACAACTATTGGGTCGACCTAGGAATCGAACCCGAGACCTCAGCACAGCAGTCTCATACGCTACCACTGCACCACCGAGGCAGTCTTATCATTAGGTGAACCGTCTGCTCGTTTGTCCCCAGTTACATACAAAAAACTTGTGT